TTTTGAGGCAAGGCCTAGATAAACCAGCAGACCCTTCATACCCCCTGCCAAGTCAGAGACTTAGTCTCTGAATTTTGGATCACTCTAGGCTTTGGCAGATGATTAGTTTCACTTAGTTCAGTGAATCTCAACCTTTCATTTTTATACACACACACACACACACACACACACACACATATGTGTGTGTGTGCGTGTGTGCGTGTGTGTATTCTTTAGAAGTTTTTGCCTTAAAGCATATGCGCTTGCCAGAGAGAGAGAGAGAGTCAATGAGAGGGAAAAATGAGACAGCATCCTCCAGGGGGATGTCTATTCCACAATCCCTTCTCCATCCTCTTCCCGAGATTTTGGACATGCACACACACATACCTGATGTGATTTTCACCCCAGCAGGTCTAGGACTCAAACCATGGTCAACCATCTGGGAGTCCAGCAATGTAACCTCTAAGCCATCTGCCAGCCCCCTTCATTTATATTTTTAGGCAGAATCTCACTGTGTCATGATCCTTCTGCCTCAGCCTTCTGAGTAACTGGGATCACAGGTGTGTGCCTCCACACTCAACTTTTTAGAGTGGTTCAGGAATCAAACCTGGACTTCCCATGTGGCCTCAGCCTGCCAATTAGCAACATCAACCAGTATGTACAATGGTGGCTGGAACAGCTCCGCCTTTTTGATTATTGTTCCCATACCCCTACCTGGAAAAAAATTTAATTGAATTGAACTTTTCTTTACCAGAAGATATTAAATACTAAGGAATAATATCTTGTTTGATAGAGGGTTTGGTAACCATTATGTCTATCATTTTTTTGCCCCTCAAAATCAATTTTCACCTACCTCATTAGTCATGTCACCCCTACTGAGTGAGAATGAATGACTTAGCTGAAAAAGAATCCAAGAAAGTTGGTAGATTCTAAAACCATATCAATAAGTTATCTCAGTAGCAGAAAGATGTATTTTGAATGCTAAGGCTGTCAGCTTCAAGCTATTCAAAATTAATTAAAATTATCATGGCTCTTTGCTTAAGATGGGAGTCCAATTGGAGAATTACACACGATAGATGAAAATGGACCAGGGTGGAGATGGACGCTGGATGGTGGATGCGACGGTAAAATGCAATGCTCTGTGAGGCTGACCCACGTGGGAGGGCTCTGGGTTCTCATCCGGAGGTCTCCTTCAGCATGCCAGGCATGCTAAGCCTGGCGGGAGCTGGGGTGGATTGTAGCATCAAGATCCTGTTGGGATGCAGTCTCTCTGGCAGTCTCTCTTCCTTAAGAAATAAACAAACAGAAAAAAAAGAACAAAAACTGGATGGGGCTGTTACAATAGAACTTTCTGTCCATAAATTCTGCTTACTGTTGACATGGCTTGATCTTTAGGACCTTCATACAGGTCAGCCATTAAGTGATATCAGTATTTACAGATATCTGTTCTCCATTTCTGACTTCACATTTTGTTTCATTGGATGTTGCAGAAAAGTCATACTTTTCACAGTATTATGAAATCATCTATCTTTCCGTATGCCCTGAGTTAGTCTCAAATCATTGCAAGTAGATGGACATGCCTGTGCTTCCCTTGTTTATAGAAAAATACCTGGAACATAAGTTGATAGACAAAGCACTGGGAAGAATATATTGGCAAGTTCTCAACTATGTAATAGGTATGGAATTTCAAGGTTTGCAGTCCATGAACACCTAAGGATAAACCAAGTGTCTTTATGAGTGGCTTTGTACTTGCAACATTTTTCCTCTTCTGAAAACTGCTTCCCAGCCTCTACCACATTTTAGGGCTCCAAGGGTGGGCTTCTCACAGCCATGTGATATCTTGAGCCATTCCCCACCAACCCCCACCCACGCTGATTGGACTACAGATGGACAACTAATCCAAGCTGAGCCAATCAGTGCCACTGACCTATCTCTATGCATTAATTAGCAATTTCCAAATTATAAGGAGTAGAAAACAACTCAAGGTAAAGTCTGTTTTCACTGACATTCTGTTTAGTTGTGTTTCCTTTACTTTTTTCCCTTGTTTTAAAAAATTAAGAATTGTAAATGTAGTTTCTTGTCAGTATCAGTACAATCTTTCAGATCAAAAGGAAGGGTAGCAATGCAGTCCTGCATAGGGTGGATGAAACAAAGAATAGAAATGCTATGGAGAAGCCAGGGCATTCTCTCTCGCCAGTCCTGCAGCTCTGCCCTCTACTGCAACTGGATTTTATACCTTGGCAGGATTACTTTCTTAGCTCCTCAATTCACACAGCACATAGAATATTGCCACCCAGAAGCTTTAGTCCGTAAGTTATAGTTCCTTCGACATACTGGAGACTAGGACCCTTTCCGTCTGAGTCCCAGTAGTTACTACTCAGGGAAGAACTCTGTCCCAGCTTGGATGAGATGCCCTCCATAGACAATCAACAGGGGATGGGGGAGTTACACTATGTGAATATGGCTGCCAGGAATCCCTGTCAGTTATGTGAAGAGGGTTGTCAAAGGGCCAGCCAGGTGATGTGATGGTTAAGGCAACTGAATCCCACATAGCTAACAATGCAGTTTGAGTTCCAGACTTGGCAGCTTGAAAAAACACACCAGATGTGTGTGTGTGTGTGCCCAAAATTCTGAGAAGAGAATGGAGGAGAAGAGATTGCAGTGTGGTCACCCCCCTGGTGGGTTCTCCCTCTCTCTCTCTCTTTCTCTCTCTCTCTCTCTCTCTCTCTGTCTTTCTCTCTAGTAAGCACATGCACCCTATAGCAAATTAAGAAGAAGAAGAAGAAGAGGAGGAGGAGGAAGAGAAGGAAGAGGAGAAGGAGGAAGAAGAAGGCAGCTGTCGTAGACTTATGCACTATGTTAATTTATGTATTCTGTTTCCCACTAGACTATGAATTCTTTTAGGGCAAATAATTTGTCTTATTGATAGTATATTTTTGGTGCCAGTTTCAAAGCCTGGTTCTTAATAGATGTTCAATAAATACTTGACACCAAGGAATAAATACATGTTCAATAAATAATTGACCCTAGGAAAAAAAAAATTCTTTACTACCCTGAAGTTTGATTTTTCCTCAGTCAGACTTATTTAAATTGCATCTTGACAAAGAGATTCATTCTGTTTTTGTATGTATGAAACCAACTGAACTAACACCTCAAATCACAGACGATTACATTTCTAATTTAAATGACATGTAAGCATTTTTGGTAGGGACAGGCCCTATAGTGTAACAGTTACGTGCTGTGCAGAAAAAGGCAGATGCCACGAGGCCAACCAGGGTATGAGTGAGCTTTAAAAACTTGGTGGGTGTAAACATGTGTGTACATGTGTCCAGGATCTCGATGGGATATGAGAGTTGGAGGATTTGTGACATGACCCAGCCCCACTGAGTGTCACTTCCTCCCCCTCCTCGTGTCCACATACTTGCTCTTTGACACAAAAAGAAGAAAAGAATTGGACATGTTGAAAATCTACACTGTGATAGGTGCTGTGGTTGGGAAGGGATATGCTTTTGAATAAGACATGATCCCTGTCTTTAGGGACCTCTCCTCTGAGTGTAAGAGCTCTTAGTGATCATTTAGCTTAACTTTCTTATTTTACAAATGAGGAAACAGAGACTCATAAAGGGTGTTAGGCCTGATGGAAAATGTTTTCAGTTATTCATAAGATTCAATAAATCCGCATGTGAAGTTATTTTTTCAGTGAGAGGTGTTAGTTATTTTGGCCAAAGGAGACATTCAATCTTTGTACATATATGGATTATCTTATTTTTGATCTTTCATTTCTTCTTAATAGCCATAGTGATGAGGTAGAAGATATCTGCTAAGCTTCTGATTTATTTGGAACCAATTAATAGCTGGCATTCAAGTTCTTTAGAAACTCAAAGCACACTATATTAGAAATTTCTTTTTTGGTCACTGAGTAATAAGGTCATTTATTATTGACATAGCTTCTAACACCTCTCCTATTTATTATTATTCCTTGTTAAATCACTTCCTGTGAGGGCTGGAGAATGTTTTCCACCATAGACTGCATGACTTATATCGACTTTCTCTGAGAGAATATGAAGCCCAGAGAAGAGCATGAAAGGGGTCATTTTTCTCTGTTTATGAAGAATGGAGGTAAAAATTTTCTTCGGTGGAGGAGGCGAGTTGGCAATGGTATTTAATTACTCTTTTACTGGGGATCTACCTTCTGCCAGGTACTATGAAAAATTCAAGGGGATAAGACTCCAGCTCTTACAGAGAGACACACCTTCTGCCCCGGCCAGGCTGGCTGGTGGGCAGCATCACCACCTTAAGTAATGTGTTAAAGGGCAAAGCAAAGGAGGGGCCACGTCTTCTCACATTTCTCAGGAGGCTTTTAGGTTGACTTAAAAATATGCCAGTTTTAACAGTTTACCAAAGGAGGACCCCTTAAGACTTAAAGCCAAAGGATGCAAAGGAATGATCCCTCTGAATCTACATGATAAAAATGGAATCTTGGCTAAACTCAGGAATAGAGCTGTCCTAACCAGAGCCAGACTCTCTCTTGGCAGCATTATTAGGGCCTATCTATGGAATGGAGAACCCTCCTGTGTGTGCAAAGGCACCTATCAAGGCAAATGAACATAGATTTTTAACTTCCTAGGACTGTTAGCTTTTAGATATGTCCAGAACCCTCTACAGCCTTCCAACAGGCTGGTCACACAGCCTCATCAGTAAATGTGTGTGATGGTATATCTATTGAATTGTCTTGGCAAAAGTCATCTCATTTCTCTGCTGATCAGGAAATTTCCAGGAGGAAGTCAGAGGCTTCTGTCTAAGGGAAAGGAGTGTGTGTGTGTGTGTGTGTGTGTGTGTGTGTGTGTGTACAAAGTGGGGGGAGCCACACTAGGAAATGGAAAAGGGTATTTGGTTCCTGGCTTGTGCTTGGTGTCTGAGAAGCAAACACAATCCCTCTGTAATATAGGAGCCCATGTGTTCTGTGTCAGAAGACTGACTGTTGTGACTGGATTTTTGTTTTTTTCCTCCTCCTCACCCAGGTGTGACTGAGCCCAGGGGAGGACACGCTGTCACCACTGGAGGAATACCCCATTTGCGTGTCATTTGCATGGACCCTGCTGTGAAATGAACCAAGCAAGGACTTGTCAGACACTTCCTTCCTCCTCTTGTTGAGCACTCCGCAGCCATTGTTCCACTGTTGTTCTAATTGGGTCCTGTCCTCCTCTTGCCAAGACAAACAGCCCAGTCTCAAGTAGGCGTCCCTAGCCTCATCTGCCAGCCTGAACATGAACACAGGCAAAGCTGATGACAGCCAGTGTTCCCAAGGGTCACGGGACCCCGTGGGGTCTGGCCCCCAGAAGCAGGACCTCTCATGATGTTGGCATCCGGGACTGAGCACCATGCCCATCACCCAGGACAATGCCGTGCTGCACCTGCCCCTCCTCTACCAATGGCTGCAGAACAGCCTCCAGGAGGGTGGGGACGGGCCAGAGCAGCGGTTGTGCCAGGCGGCCATCCAGAAGCTGCAGGAGTACATCCAGCTAAACTTTGCTGTGGATGAGAGTACAGTCCCACCTGACCACAGCCCCCCAGAAATGGAGATCTGTACTGTGTACCTCACCAAGGAGCTGGGGGATGCCGAGACTGTGGGCCTCAGTTTTGGGAACATCCCTGTTTTTGGGGACTATGGTGAAAAGCGCAGAGGGGGCAAGAAGAGGAAAACCCACCAGGGCCCTGTGCTGGACGTAGGCTGCATCTGGGTGACAGAACTAAGGAAGAATAGCCCAGCGGGGAAGAGCAAAAAAAGAAGAGCGGCAAGGTCCGACTGCGGGATGAGATCCTCTCCCTGAACGGGCAGCTGATGGTTGGAGTTGATGTCAGCGGGGCCAGGTGAGTGGAGGAGGGCCTGCTGGCATGGGAGTTGGACACCAGCCCCCTCTGGTTTGCTGTATCTGATGCGTGTGGGCCTGCAGATGCAGAGGGCTGTGAGTCCTGCTGGTGAGAAGCTGGTGGCAAGTATTCCTCTTAAGGGAAAATACACTGAGTTGATTTCATGATATTTATTGTTGCTTTTTAACTTCATTCTCTCAGAGGTATTCGGTTCAGAGTATTTCCTTTTTCCCTGAAACTCAGGATAGAAAGTAAAGAAGCCACATGTAAAATAATAGTGTAAGAGTATGAGAAATTTCACCTTGAGTCAAATAAACCCCCCCAATCCATTCAACCTAGCGTCTGACCTCCAATTAGAGCTCTGAAGGCTAGGTCCTGGATGTGTCTCCATCTATCTGTTCCAATTGACCTTAGTCACAGCAACCAGGAGGCTCCCACACTCAAAGTGCAGAAGCCCCATCCCAGAAGCTCCACTTAGATCTCATCTGTATGTTTACTGAATGTTTTGGTTATAATTCATCTCTCTCACCATTGTAGGAAGTTCTAATTTGGCTATTTTATTGTTTCCCATGAGAATCAGAGAAAAAGTTCCCAGGGGTCCCCAAGACCACCTTTAGGTTTAATGATTCACTAGAAGGGCTCACAGAACTCAGAAGAGCTGCCACATTTACAGTTACGGGTCAGTACAGTGGAAGGATGCAGATTAAAATCAGCAAAGGTAAAAGACACAGAGTGGAGTCCTGGAGAGATCAGGAGCAAGCTTACAGTCACCTCCCCACTGGAACTGTGTAGACAGTGCCCAATTCTTCCAGGAATGATGTGTGACAAACATACAGAGTATTATTAATCAGGGAAGATCACCTGAGCCTTAATGTCCAGGGTTGGTCATGTGGGCATGGAGAATCTGTGTGGCTGACTACTTTCTCACTCAATCTGCAGTCTCTCCAGAGAGCAAACCACAGCCAGAAATAGCTGAAACTGAGGAGCTTAGGGAATGGGAATAGGAGAAAAGGTCAGGGAATAAATAGGTCTATGGGATCAATCATTGTTACAACTAGATATTCAACAATGCACCTGGGATTTGTTTGATTGGGTATGATCAGATACATGGACGGAGCAATGAGTACCATGAAGGAAGAAGCTAATAGTCACAGAGATCTAAGAACAGGACAGCACACCACACGGGGCCTTGTGGAGAAGCACCAGGGTTAGTCAGAGAGTGGAGGGCGGGAGGAAAAAGCATGGCCCAGAGTTTTAGGTTTTCATGGGAAGGAATGGATGAAGCAGGATAGATACCCTAAGTATGCTTAGGATTGGACAGTTTGGGTAATTCTGATGGGCTCTCAGGGGTTATCTATAGGGGTTAGTCCCTCGTTGTTAGATCACCCTTGGGTGATTTAGGGGAGGAAGAATATTGGCTTGGTGTGTGAGAGTTTGATAAAGCAATTGATTGGCTCCTATATCAAAGGAATAATCACAAGGGAGTTGTTTACTCTCCTTAGGAACTAGCTAACTCTGGGAGAAGCAGTCTCTCCAGAATCAAGGCCTCAAATCCCACAGCATAAAGAATGCAGGAAATAAGAAAATATAGTCAAACAATGGGCTTCTGGAAACTTTCTGCAGCTGAAGAAGTGTATCTTCCAAATATAACTTCTTTAGTAGTAAACAACCACAACTTTTAATTTCCCTTCTATAATCATGTAGCTATGTGTGTGAGATGGACAATGAAGAGCTATATGACACGCACAACTACTTGGTCTTCATGAGAGCATGAAATTGGATCAAGTAATGAGGCAAAGAATTCTGAAGTTCTGGGCTCCCAGGTGCCTCGTAACAACCAAGAAATTAACGAGACACAAGAAAAGGAGACCGGCCAGCTTGCTTTTTCAAGATCTTCTCCCTGGTTCTTTTATTTATGAGAAGTACCAATATTTATAAGAAGTACTATTTCTCAAGCTGCCACAATCTAGCTTAATACCTACTGCCACTCTATAAGGGACAGTTCTCTCAAGCAGAAACCTTGGTAGCATGTTACTTGCCCAAAGTCACCTAAGCAAGTGGCAGAACTGTATTTGAAACCAGGTCAATGTGGTTCCACAGTCTATGCTCCTAACCACTATGCTACATTCCTTCAGTGTCTGCCCCAGAGCTGTACTTTGGTCCTTGTGTGATCTGGTGCATAATTTTGTGGATGGTATACAGCTTCACAAATAAATCTTCTCAATATAATTACAGATTCTGGGGAAGAAAATGATTAGAATATGCGATAAGCCTCCCACCTACCCAAACTGACAAGAAGAACAGAAGCCTCTGTCTCCTCTTATAAAAGGAAACCCAATTTTAATATAGAATCTCTCTGGCAAACATGCATCCAGCCAAAGCTTTGGGATTAGAAGCAATTTGAGATTTCAGTAGTAGGGAGGTAAAGTGTTTTAAATGTTCTCAAGATGTTCCTTTTCACTCTTTGCAACTGCCTTAGTCCATTTTTGCATTGCTAACAGAAATACCCAACACTGGGTGAATTATTGGGTTGTCGGGAAAGTTGTGACATTATTTTTTCTGTCTTTCTATGCATCATGGCTTTTCCAATATCCAATATGAAGAAGTAGAAGTTTAATAATGCACCATTCTGCAAAGTTTGAAGCATCACAAATGGCAGAAGGCAGAACTTTTATCAGAGCGGAGCATGGTCTATAGCTGTGTAGCTTTCTCTGTGATTCGGGTCTCAACCCTTTTGATTATATACACTCCATGACTCATTCATAGATGCCCAACCTAAATGACATTATGACACGCAAAGGCCTCATCCTGAGACACCATGATGGAATTAAGTTTTCATTTAGGACCTTTTACAATACAATCAAGTCCCAACACATAAATTTCTGGGGGCCATCCAATCACTGCCCACTATACCTAAATTCTAAAACATGAAACCTTGGGAGATGAACCATGATCCAAACCAGTAACTGACTAATGATTTCCTTCAACGCTAAGTATTTTCACCTACGTATATGGGTTTTGTCCTAACGGATAGTGAGTAGGGGGGCTGGCCAATGGTTAAGGCTCTGGATTCACACATGGCCAACCGCAGTTCAAGTCTTAGACTGGCAACTTGGAAATCACACCGGGCTCATGCATGCATGCCCAAAATCTCAGGAGGAGAATGGAGGAGGAATTGCAGTGTGCCATCCTCTCTGGGGGGAGATTTCTCACTTTCCTTCTGTCTCTCTGTCTCTTTCCAGCAAGCGCACTTGCCCTATGGCAAAAAACCTTAAAAAGAAAAATGGTGAGTAAGAATTAGGGTTCTGGATTCATCTCGCTGTACCTCTCTGCTCCTCAGCCATAGCCTCTTTAGCTGATGATCATCTCTTCACCCTCATCTGTGAGCAACAGATTTAAGGGGTCCTTATGTCCACATGCCAACTTTCCCCACCTGCCCATGTGATAAGTCAGCTACACTGGTGCATACAATTAGGATATGAGGCACTGTGTTTGGGCGATCTCTTCCACTCTCTCTCTCTTGAGTTTGATTTTGAATTCAAAACTTACTTAGATGATGATGTATTGAATTATATTCGCCCCCCATTTATATATTGAAATCCTAACCCCAAGGACCTTAGAATATGAATTTTGTAGACCATAGAGTCATGGCAGATATACCTAGTTGATGTCATCCTAAAACAGGGTTGGCTCCTAATCCATTAGGTCTAGTGTCTTTATAAAAGAGACAAATGTGGGACCAGCAGTTGGTGTAGTGGCTATGTCACTGGACTCCCATGTAGTCAATTGTGGTTCAAGTCCTGGACCTGGTGGCTTAAACTCATGTCGGGCATGTGTGCATGCGTGCCCAAGATCCTGAGAGGAGAATGGAGGAGAAGGGATTGTGGTGTGGCCATCCCTCTTGGGGGGGTTATTTCTCACTTTCTGTCTCTCTACCTCTGTCTGTCTTTCTGGCAAGTGCATGTACCCTATAGCAAAAACCTCTCAAAAAAAAGAGATAGAGAGAGACAAATGTGTGGGGCCAGCAGGTGGCATGGTGGTTAAGGCACTGGACTCCCACATGGCTGACTGCGGTTCAAGTCCTGGACCTGGTAGCTTGCTTTCTCACTTTCCCTTTCTCTATCTCTCTCTGGTTGAATTTTAAAAATAATAATAGTAAATAAAATTAAATAAAAATAATTATTTAAATACAAATAGAGAAAGAGAAAAATGTGGGCACACTCACTTATACACCACAGGGATAATATCATGTGAAGACTGAAGTTCTGCTGCTCCAAGCCAAGGAGCTACAAGAAACTAGGAGATGCTTGGAACACACCCTTCCCTAGCACCTCTGGGGAGCATGCTCCTGCTGACACCTTGGTTTGCCTCAAAGACTGTGAGACAGGACATTTCTGTTGCTTAAGCTACTTGACCAGGAAACTGATACAGGTGATCTTTTGACCCCATCACCTTATGGCAAATCAATTTTCAGTTGGTGTCATCCCTGACATACCTGGAAACTGTAGGGCACTATGGATGCTTTTGGAAGAGGACACTCTGAAAATCACATGTATGTTATATGTGAGAGGAGTAGGTGCAAAATGTGGAAGATGAAGTCATGGTTTGCTTAATTCAAAAATTAGTTTACAGTTAATTTGGAATGTTCATCCCTGGAGAAAGAACAGAACATGCCTAGCCGTGGGTTTGATGGCCCTTCTGCAGCCCAGACCAGTTGGGACTCTAAAACCATGATTGCTCCAAAATGCCAGACCCTATTCTTGCCTCCTAACTGGCTGGTACTCTCGAGGTCTGTAGTTTGCTTCTAGGTTCTCTAAGTAGCTCTGGAAATCCCTGTTCTTTTGCCTGGTGACAGCTTCATCCCCCTGTGAATTTCTAGCACACTTTCTGGGATGAGGTGGAGCATTGGATGTGCTTGATGTCACACGTCCCATCTTGCAGAGCTGGTAGCACCCAGAGGAAAGAGTTTGTTCCTGAACTCTGTCACACCCACTCTGGGG